AAGGGGGGGGGGGACGGGGGACGACACTGACCAGTATTGTTTGCAGTTCTGCTGATTCTGGAACAAGTACAAAGCCATTGATGTTGCTAGAACACGGGAGGACTATATGAAATAAAAGAGTAAAACCTGCACAGAACAGCAGCTGATTGGGAAGGAATGTAACGGGCAGTCCATAGCTTTCCAACATCCCCTCAGTCTAGCTGGTGGCCTCAGTGTAGACATAGAGCTGGTGACACTGGAGGGTTAGCATGTGTCCACCTCTTAGAGACTGCGCTTCCTGTGCATTCATGTCCACACAGGACAACATGGCTAGAAAAAAGACATGGCCTGCTCTCTCATGAGGAGTCTCTTCTTCTTCATCCTCCGGTTCTGGAACCAGATCTTCACCTGCTGGTCACTGAGACTCAGTCGGTCAGATAGTTCTCTCCTCCGCTGTCTGGTGATAAATTCATTGACCATAAACTCTCCTTCCAGTTCTGCTAGCTGCAGTTTGGAGTATGGTTTCCTCTTCTTTCGAGATCTGGTGTGCATGGGGTACCATGGGGCTCCTGTACAAAATGGACACAGGTCAGAAATGACCATACATCAGTATAAATAAAAATAAGTATAAGGAGTAAGGAAACTACCTATTGTCATATGTATATATTCCCACCTCACCCCATCATACCAGTGTTGGTTGTTTATAGACACCTAATGTGTGTCATGTATTACCTTTAACATGTAACTGGCATGAGGTTCAGTTCACAAAGCTTTGCACCAGCCTAATACACTCATAGCTAATACAAACTCACACCTAAAACACTCTATTTCAGACCCGATTTTCACATTTTGTTGGATTTGCATGGAAATAATTGCCATCTAAAAAACTTGATACTTATACTAGTGTGTTAACTTTGAGAATTGAGCCTTATGTAACATCTCTTGATACTATGTCATGTTTCGTCTACCCTTAATTTACAATAGAAATAAATGTATAAAAGAGAACAATGTTATTTTCTGTAACTCCCAATAAAGTTCCTTAAATATACCAATTATTTATTACTGTGTATGGATGAAAGGCATCAGAAGCAAATTATTTATATCATTATGGGCATACATGAGGATCTTTATGTTCAGCCATGTGACTGTAATTTTCAGATCTCATCGGATTCACTTGAAAATGTCTGTCACTGTTGTATGAAAAGGGGGATCCTTACCCTGGTGTTTGTGAATTGAGCCCTATGTCATTATTGGGAGTCCTAGGTGTGATTGCACAGACAACAAGCTTGTCTGGAATGCTCTTAGTACATATTTGATGACTTGACAACTGCCTGTGAGTGATTTGATGGTGTCTATAGAAGACTTCCTAATTTTATGGCATATTTACATGTTTATTGCTATATCCCTCTTCTCCCTCTTTCTCTCTCTCTTTAAAAACAGGCATCGCCTAATAAAACATTTAGGTATTTTAGTGCTACCCCTAGCGGTGTTGGTCCAACATAAACGGTAATCTCATCCACCATCCCAATAAAAGTGAGCCTGCAGCCATGCTCAGCTCTTCTTACCAGTGGCAGGGAGGCTGCTGGCTGGGTTGCCCGGGGAAGCCATTGTCACCGCTTCGCTCTGAGTCTTGGGAGCTCCTTCATTGATGAGAGACGAGCTGGAATCCGACTCCAGGGACTGGCAGGACTGCGGGTCGTGGGGGACTGGCTCTGCAACACTGTAGTCGTATTTATGGAAGCTGCTGCTGTTCATGCCGTTAGAGATCCCGCTATCCAGGGGCATCAGCACGTTATCCCTCAAGCGATCCTCTCTCTTCAGGCTCGGGGTCTCCGGGCACGCCTCCCGGTAATAGCACTTGGTCTCCTCCACCCGGGCCAGATCACAGGCTCTGCTGAACGAAGGGTTAATGGAGACGGGGCTGCTGAGATAGGGCTGAGGGTATCCATTGCAGGGCTCTGTGGATGCCCAGGGCAAAGAGCACACGTTGTCCCTCCTTGGGTAAGAGAGAGAGGGCAGGCCAGGTAACTGGCCTCCAGATGTCCTGAAATTTGGGAAATAAAAGGTGTCCCCGGTGTGAATATTGACCAGAGGTCCCACAAAGCCAGGATTAAGAAGATTATGCTCTCCCATTTCCGCGGGCCTGACCAGGAGCTTCTACTTTATTGCCATCTGACATTAAACATAGTCAAAGCTACAGCTTGCCCCCATTGGCTGGAGCGGATCACGTGGGCAGCCACTAGTGACGCCTGGGGAAGTCCCGCCCCTTTCTTGGCTACTGAACACAAAACAAAACATGAAGTTTCTCGCAGCTCATCCCACATGTGTCTTCCCAGCCTTTCCCTGCTCATCGCCTTAATAAACCTGAGTGCTGTTTACAAAGATTGTAAAGGGTTCAAGTGTGTCTAGACGTTACTCTTTCCTAAAACATCCCAATTAATTACCATGCAATTTCATTATCTACATTGCCTAGATGCCATGCAATGGGGTGTGCCACTCACACAAACACCCACCCATTCTATCTATCTATCTATCTATCTATCTATCTATCTATCTATCTATCTATCTATCTGTCTGTCTGTCTGTCTGTCTGTCTGTCTGTCTATCTATCTATCTATCTATCTATCTATCTATCTATCTATCTATCTATCTATCTATCTATCTATCATCTTCTTTATCTATCTATCTATCTATCTATCATCTATCTATCTATCTATCTATCTATCTATCTATCTATTTACCTATCTATCTATTCTGTCAACCTACCATGTATATATGTGCAAAATAAGCTTGTTTAACTATAAACAAATGAAGTTCTATCTTTGCATATTTCATATGTGTTATTTATTGTATCTGTCAATCTCCATCCATCTATTCATCCAATTCTCTCTTCTCTACCTCTCTTTCATCTATCTATCTATCTATCTATCTATCTATCTATCTATCTATGTAATTTATCCACAGAGTTATATATGCTTAACAAGAGAGAAGCTGATTGGTTGTCATGGGCAACTGCTCCAGAATGTGTCTGCTTCAGTTTTGATACATTCCCATTAATATTTTATGAAACGCCCTTTGTAACTAAACTTAAAGGACATTGTGGTAAACTATAAAGTAATCCTTTTTTGCATCAATTCCGAGCAAATACAAAGTAAATGAGACTTATTTACTATTCACCTTGAATGCCCAATCATGTGCAGATTCAAATATGTAAAGATAAATTTTGCTCATGATTGAAGTGGCTCTTCACTCCTCAGTTTATTAAGTGAAGATTCTCAACTCCCTTAGTAAATCAGCCACAATTAATTCATAGTTTGCTTTTTCAACGTTTGTCAAGGATTGATATAATATTTGCACCACTTGACTGCAAACAATGATGGAACATACGAATACTGTCAAATGTATTTTTTTTTAAATTTCAAATGAATTTGTGATGGAATGCAAGGAATTGTCATTCGATTTATTCGTCATATATTGTAAGTAAAATAAAGGTAAGTTTGCAGAAAATGACTTTCCCCTCTATTCACTATTCTAGCTTCCAGTAGGTTTGTCCTTATAAGGCAATTTCTACCGTAAAATCTTCTCACATCGTTTAGTATTCAGCATTCCAGTCACTGCAGAAAAATGCGCACCGATCACTGCACAGTGGCAAAAATATTCCACTTTGCCTCTAAATGAGTGGCCGACTTTCAGACACATATTAAATGGCAACAAAGATATGAAATTCTGAAGCCTCAGTTCAAGGTCATTGTCTAGGGTGTTAAAGAGAACCCTTTGTATGAGTTCTGAATTTCTCCATGAGCCCTTGAGACAGAGGAGGGGGAGGGGCAGGGGGCTGCAAGGGAGAAATAGCTTGAAGCTGTAAACCTTTATTGATCATGGCTCCGTTTTATTTACCATCTTTTGTGATCCCCTTCTTTTTCTTTTTTTTCCATGCATCGAATTCCTTCCTTTCAAAGCAGAAGGGCATATATTCTGCCAATGCCACTGATGATAATAGGAGGTAAAAACTGTCACCAACTTGAACGCAAACTGTATTTTGGCTCACAAAAAATGTGTTTTCCTCCACAGTCTATAAAATATATATATATAATAACAAACAAATATCTATCTATCTATCTATCTATCTATCTATCTATCTATCTATCTATCTATTTATATCACATGTAAAACATAGCACATACACAACTACACATATAAAATACAGCACACACAAATACACACACATATTTATATCCAAATACACAGTCATGACTCCACACACATTTATGCATTAAACATACACAGATATACACTCATTAACATATAGCCCATACATATTGCGCATATGTATGGGCTATATGTTAATGTGTGTATATCTGTGTATGTTATAGATATATAACACACACACACACACACACACACACACACACACACACACACACACACTCATTACCGTACGACATCCACT